AGCATTGTGTGTGTGGGGGCTGTGGCCTGGGAGGAGAAAGCCCGGATTTCCTGTGGCAGAGCCTGGCTCCCAGAACCTGGAGCTGGCCCCCCGCAGGACTGAGGCCTTGCCTGGGAGTGGGAGCTAGAGTCCTTGGAGCTGGAGTTCATATGTCATTCGTTACACCCAATAGCGTGTGTGTGTGTGTGTGTGTGTGTGTGTGTGTGTGTGCATTCATGAGGCTAAGGGTGCAGTCGTTGAAGACGAGATAACATGGAAGAGCCAGGGCTGTGACAGTTAGGGCTCTGCTGGGCATCAGCTCCTGCTATGAGCTTGAAGCATTCCCACCTCCCACCTCCAGGTTGGCCTCGATAGAGGGGGAGGGGGAACCCTCGGGACACTTCATGGCCCCTTGTTTGGAACTGGGTGACAAGAAATGTTTGTGCAGGGGGAGTGTTTGTGTATTGGGTGGGGGCTCAGCCTGGGAACCTCGACTCCCTGGCCTCTAGAGGGGCCTGAGTCACCTTCCCTCCTATTATGAGAAGTGGGGGGCTGGAGTGGGGAGGAAACCAGAAGCAGTGGGGGCGTGCGATGCGGGGGCGTGGGGAGGGTCTGGCTGGGCGAGCTGGGGGCGGGGTCAGGTCGGGGGCCCGGGGAGGCGCTGCAGCCGCGCGGAGCGAGCGAGGGGGACGCGAAGCGCAGCGCGCACTCACTGCGGTCTCCGCGTCTCCGCCGCAGAGCGCGCTCCGCTCCGCACGCACCTGCCGCCGCCGCCGCCGCGCCGAGCCCAGCTGAGCCGGCCGCGCCGCGCCGCGCCCCCCGCCCGCGCCCCCGCCTTGGGCCCGGGGCCCTGCATCCTCCCGCCGCATCCCCAGAAGCCGGGCCCTGCTCCTGCTCCTCCTCTCCTCTCGCCCTCCTTCTGAGCAGCCGCTGGAGCGCGCCGTGCCTACAGAGCCGCCTCGGGCCGAGCCGGGGAGCGGGCGGCGCATCCCCTGTCTCTGCCTTTCAGATAACCTCAGCGGAGCCGCGCCCGGGCTGGCCAGGCCTGGGGCCGCATTGGAGCCGCGGGGGACCGAGCCAGGTGACGGACGGGACCGGAGACGGGGCGGAGGGCGGCCTGGGGCTGGGGCGGTCATCGCGGCCAGACCCTACGGGCTCTCGCCTCCCCTGGCCTGAGCTCCGTCTGCCCCGGGGGTACGCCGCTAACCCCTCCCTGTCCCTTCTCCATCCCCTCCTTTCTCCTAGGGCTTTGGGGGCGGAGCACACACCTGGGCTGGAGGGGGGAGGGGTCCTTAGGTTTCTGGACCGGGGTTGGGAGTCAGAGGTCAGGTTGCCAGGTTTTGGGTCAGGCAGTTGGTTCTAGGGTCACATCTCCTTCAGTCTGGTGACCTCTTTTACCCTTTGGTCTCTGTTTTCAGTTTCTTTCCTCTTCTCCTTGGTGCCCCATGACTGGTGGGAGGGTAAGGTAACCAGCCCCCCTGGGAAGCCCCGCCCTGGAGCCATGGCAGCCACAGAGTGCCTGGGTGTCCAGCTGCCTGGCTGCTGGGACCACTGACTCAGGCCAGAGAGGAAGCCTCCTGCATACCTCCTCAGATAGAGGGCAGGGGCCCTGGGGGAGGCACCTATACCTTGGGGATCCCCTACATCCACCTCTCCTGTTACTTGCCCTTCTCCTGAGACTCGCCCTGGGAGGACGCTGGGGCTCCTGGGGGGGTCTCCCCCCCAGATCTGTCCACATACATTCTCACCGTCCGCCCTTGGGAGTCAGGGGGGCGGCTGGGGACCACCCCAAACCTGGCAGTGCCAGGATGTTGTCCCCGATGCTGGGTCCTCACCAGCAGCCCCACCCCAGGGCCCAACCGGCCTAAGTGCCGCTAGCCGGATGCCGGCGCCCCCCGGGCCCGAGGCGAGCGGCTGGCCCGGCCTCCTCATGTCCTGCCTGAAGGGCCCACAGGTCATCCTCAAGATGGAGACCATGAAGATCGTACATCCTGAGAAGTTTCCAGAGCTCCAGGCGGGTAACCCCCGCTATGCACCCACCCCCAGGCCTGCTCCTGCCCTGGCCCCCAAGAGGGCCTGGCCTTCTGACACCGAGATCATTGTCAATCAGGCCTGCAGTGGGGATGTGCCTGCCCTGGAAGGGGTACCTCGCACACCACCTCCGCCCAGGAGGCCCCGGAAGAGCAGTGCTGAGCTGGGCTTCCCCCGGGTAGCTCCTGGTGATGAGGTCATCGTGAACCAATATGTGATACGGCCTGGCCCTGCTGGGGAGCCGCTGGAGTGCCCAACCTGTGGGCACACATATAACCTGACCCAGCGGCGTCCACGTGTGCTCTCCTGTCTGCATTCTGTGTGCGAGCAGTGTCTACAGATCCTTTATGAGTCCTGCCCCAAGTACAAATTCATCTCCTGCCCTACTTGCCGCAGGGAGACTGTGCTCTTCACTGACTATGGGCTGGCTGCCCTGGCTGTCAATACATCCATCTTGAGTCGCCTGCCACCAGAGGCACTGACCGCCCCACCTGGCCAGTGGGGCGGTGAGGCTGAGGGCAGCTGCTACCAGACCTTCCGCCAGTACTGTGGGGCTGCCTGTACCTGTCATGTCCGGAACCCGCTGTCCTCCTGTGCTATCATGTAGTGCTCTCCCCATCCCTATCCCTGCTATCTCCTCATCCTCCATTCTAGGACTTCTGCTTCCTTTGGTCCCCCCAAATGCCAGGCGCAGACTGATGCCAGCCTTCTGGAACACCCCAGAGGATTCAGCAGAAAAGGACTGCAACCTAGATGTTCTGTCTCCATGTCCTGGGATCCTCGCTTCCTCCGATCTCCCTGGGTGTTTGCTTACCCTCTGAAGCTGCTTCTCCTAGAAGTGGGGCCATGCTAGCCCCTAGGAAGAAGCCTTTTCTGCCCCTGCCCTGCTGCTTCTCATTCCTCACCCTTCCAAGGGAGGGTCTCTGCAGCCAGTTTTGCCATTAAAACTCTTTGCCAAAGTTGCCATTTCAGTTGCTAATTGGAACCATGTCTGACAGCACAACCCTCCTCCCCAGGTAGACTTAAGCCCCAGCCCCAGTCCCCCAGTCTCCCTCCTCCCTTGCAGCAGAGTAGTCATGGGAGAGAGGCCCATGAGGCCCAACCTAAAGGCCCTTCCACCTAACAGGTCTGCATCCTCCCCAGGAACCCTTCTGCCCAGAGCTGGGTCCCAGGTTCTCCCTTCCAGCAATGAAGACATGGCCCCTGGAGTCTCAGGTCAGCATGCAGCTAGGCTCCGTTTGTGTGCTGTGCTAAGTTGGGCCATGTGTGTGAGCCTGGGAAACATGGACAGCTGGGTCCAAAGGCCGCTCGGTTCCTTTACGTGTCTGGGCAGGTTGCATCAGCCAAGGATTCCCCAGCAGGAAGGGCCTACAGCAGCCCATGCCTCTCCTGCTTGGGTGACCCCTCTTGGAGCTCTGGTCCTCTACCACTGCTGTGCTTGAACCCAGGGACCTACTGATCTCTTCTTTCCCCTGGGTCATGTGTGGTAAACCTTTTTATCTTGGTTCAACCCAGGCAGGGTCAGGGGCAAAAATAAGGACAATAACTACTACTAAGGACAGTTCATATTTCTATAGCACTTTACCATTTACAAAGTGTTTTCCTCACAGCAACCTTGTGAGGTAGGCGATGCAAGTATTATTCCCATTTTACAGATGAGGAAACAGGCTCAGAGGTGACATGACTTTTGCCCAAGGGACTTGAACCCCAATCACCGAATTCTAAATCTAGCGCCCCTTCCACCACCCTTTGCTGTCCCCCGAGAGCAGGTGATCTGTAACTTACTCTATATAAGCTGCTCTGGGGCCCAATATTTGCTCTGATCAGGAATGCGTGCTCTGCAAACTCATCTGCTTCTCTGCTGTTGTTTTTCTTTCCTTCTTCTGCCCCAGAGTTTCCTAGTAAAGACTCCTTTTGAAAAATTCCAACCTTGTCGGTGCCTGAACTTGGGAGAAGAGGGTGGGGGGGGTGTGTGGAGGTGTCCACACAGCACTAATGACTGGGGATAAGAGAGGCAGACTGAACCAATTCTAAGGCTAGTGAGAACCCACAGCACGGAGGGAGAAAGTGAAGCCCAGGGGGGTTATCGACCAACTGATTAGCTGATTAATCCCAAACACTTTCTGACTCGACCTCACCTCTAATCCCTAGGCACCCTAGGATCAGGCTCTTTTTGCACCAGGGCTATTTTTGGGGGCAGGGACTGAGTCCAGATAGGGAGAGGGAATCAGAAGTCTTTGGGCTGATAAGGGTGGGAAACTGGGTAGAACCATATGGGGACAAGGCAGCAATATAATCCACATGGAGCTGGACCCGGACTGCTTTGGAGTGTGGAAATCCTGTGCATCCAGGCCTGGTTTTCACACACCAGGCACCGTACCCCACCTAATACATTTTCCCCTGATGCTGACGCCAGTATGTTAAGCAGCTGATTGAATCTTGCACCCTCTCAAGTGAAAACCAGAGCATCTGTTAGGGCAGAAGGAGTTTAGATGGAGCCAGAAGTCATAGAATTTCACTGTAGGAAGTAACTTTAGAGAGCATTGAGTCTAATCACCTTCCATTCTACATCTTCTGGGGGGCGTGTGTGGGGGAGGCCTTATCCAGTATCTGCTTGAATGCTTTCAGTGATGGAAAGAGAGCACACCTACCTCAAAGGTTGCCTATTTTGAACAGCTCTGATTTTGAAAGAATTAAATTGATTTGAAAACTGCTTCCCTAAAACATTTAGTCATTAGCCCTAGCTCTGTCTTCTGGACAGAATAAATCTAAACCCTTTCTAATAACATTCCAGGACAACAATCGTGATCCCAGAAATGGTCGATTTTTCTCTCTGGGCTTCAGGTTTCTCCTTTGAAAAAATGAAGAGGTTGGTCTAGATGATATTAATGAAGTCTCTTCTGGTTCTAACATTTTTATTTTTAAAATAATCTTATTGGTGTCTTTTGTTTTTTACATCGATAGAATTTCTCCCTTCCCTTCCCCCTGCCCAGAGGGCCATCCCTTGCAATAAATACTATTTTTAAAATGTAGAAGTGAAAAAAATAATCAAAACTGATGAATACATCTAAGAAGTCTGAAATATATGCAATGCCCCACGTCTGTGGTCAGCCCACTTGTGCAAAGCAATAGGGTGGGGATGTCCTCCTTTTTCTTTTTTGGGGGCCATTCCTTGTAATTGTGTAACCCTTGATTGTCTTCTAGTTGTTCTTTCCATTTACATTGTAGTCATTGTGTGTATATCAGCAGTTGTCAAAACCTGGTCCACAGCTCGGTGGGTCTCTGAGACCTTTTCAGGGGGTCTGTAAGGTCAAAACTATTTTCATATTAAGATATTATTTGCCTATTAAAATATTCCTCCCTATTCTAACTACATCTATGTGTGAGGCTGGATTTTCTTCAAATATTTCAATTAAAACACAGCAGATTGAAGGCAAAAGCAAATATGAAAATCCAGTTGTCTATTAAGCCAGCCAATTAAAGAGATCTGCAAAAATATGTGAAACAATGCCACTCTTCTCACTAAATTTTTTGTTTTGTAAAATAGTTTTTTCCCCATAGAAAACATATGGCTTGTGTTAACAGGTAACAGGTTTATTGTTATTTAAATGAATAAATATTTTTAAATTTATCAGTTTTTCTTTATAATACAATAAATACCAATGGCTGTTACTCACAAACAAAAGCTTTTGGGGCCCCCAATAATTTTTAAGAGTGTAGAGGGGTCTTCAGACCAAAAAAGTTTGAGAATTGCTGGTCTGTATTGTTATCTTGACTCTTCTTGCTTAAGTCTGCATCAGATTGGGCAAATCTTTCCATGTTTCTCTGTAATTCATCATTTCTTACACCACAGTGATATGTTACACATCATATTCATGTATCATCATTTGTTTAACCATTTCCCAATGGATGATACCCAAATCTTTCAACCAGTTCTCATGTGACATGGTCTCCTGGCCTCATACATCTGGTCGCCCTCTTCTGGACACACTCCAGCTTTTCACCATCCTTCTGAATATAGCTCTTAAGATGTAGTTTGATGAGAGCAGGGTACAACTGGACTCTCAGCTCCTTCATTCAGTACACTGGACTGCTGCTCCCTCCTGTCCAGCATTGCCCTGTTTCTGCCCCCAAAGCTTGTGGGTTCTTCTTTTTATGGGCTCCCCTTTATGGTCTAGGGTGTGTATATGTGTGTGGGAGACAAGTTCCAGGAGAATTAGGTGGCCCCAGAAGGGGTCACCTTGAAATTCGGTCCAGGTCCATTTGTGCCCTCTGGCATTTTCATACCAGGTTAAGTTCTGTGTTCACCGCAGCTGGCCATATCCCTGTTAGAGGAGGCATGTGCCTATATGGTCAGAGTACAGCTCTCCCCCCAGAGATCTCCCATCTACCAGTCTGAGGCCTGACATTCCACTCTAATTGGGTGGGAGCAGTTTCTATTTCCCTACCTTCAAGCCCAAGCCTGGCTGACCTTCAGGGAACACCAGCTGCACAGCTCTTATCTGAGGCCTCCAGACAAGGAGAGGGGCAGAGAAGGACATTTCTGCTCCTCCCCTGAAAGTGACCTGACTGGTCTATAACTCTATACTTCCCATCCCAAATTGTCCCTCTGCTCAGGCTGCCCCAGGCTGCCCCTTCCACACCCACCATCTCAATGTATTCGTTGCCTTCTCCTCTCCACCCCCCCCTTTTCACTAATGTAAATGATCATTTCTAGAAATTATCCAGGTTGTGAACTTACTTCTTTCAGTAATCCAGTTCTTTCTTCCCCTATTCAGTCTTGACTATCAAGGTGGGCAGCTGAGGGAGTTGTGATCAAAAGTCTAAGCTCTCTAATCAGTGACCATTAGCTCCTGGAAGAATCGTCCCCCCAGATCTTCTCAGAGATAATGTCAGTTCAGTCCATTCAGGATCCTTCCAGTGAGAGGATGCAGCAGTGCTCAAGTCTCTGGTCGGTGAATGGTAAGCAGGCCCACCCCCTCAAAAGGTCCTTCGAGTCCAAGCTGGAGGGTCAGTGGCCTAGATGGTTAAGTAGGATCAAGAGCAAGGCAAGCAGTAGGAGGGGCAGAAAGATGAGTACCAGTCCAAACATTTCTAGGGCTAGCATCGTCAGCAAGATGAGGCAACGGGTGCAGGGCCCCCTGTCACGGAGGGCCCAGAGCCTCGAAATCAGACATGGTGGGCAAGGCAAGAAGGGGAGGCAACCTCGGTTCCCTCGAAGTTGATAACGGTGCTCCAGGGAAGCCCAAAGCCCTGTCCCTCGGGGAGGAAGGGCTGGGGGACTGGGAGGTGGTGGAGGTTGGGGCCCATCAGCCTGGAGCAACTCTTCCTGAAGCTGGTAGATCTCCCACTCCAACATAGGAGTCTTCTGACGGCACAGTGGGCAACGCACACGGCCCAGGTCAGTGCTGGAAGCTGTGCCCAAGAGCCTGTTCAGGCAGTGCTGGCACAGCCCATGTCCACAGTTCAGCAACACCAAGAGGTGCTCGTCTATGCCGTAGGGTTCCGTACAGATGGGGCACTCATCTTCCACATCCTCCACTAGTTGCAGAGTCCACTGAGCTCCAGCCCCCAGTAGGGGCTTGCTTTCCATGGGGGCTGCCTCAGGAGGGCAGGGGGCTGAAGGGGTCAAGCTCTCCATTTCCTCCTCTTCATCTGGGGACCTAGACACAGGCTCAGTTGGCTCTGGTTCCTGGCTGCCCACAGCCATATCTTTCTAGGAAGGCAGGACCAGGGTTAGAGGTTAGATGTTAGGGGTTAGTTTCAAGAGTTCAGAATTCAGAAGGAAAAAGCAAGAACACCTACTGTTTCCTGGCTGACTGCTTCAGTTCCTCTGAGACTTTGGTAGTGGACTTGGCTGCTCAGCCTGGCAGGGGCCTGAGGCTCCTATGGGGATCACACACGCACTTGATAATGCTGGGCCACCGATTTCTCCCTCCCCAGAGTCCCAGCACAATCCTTCCCGGCAGTTAGAGCAAACCTCTAAGACTTTGTAGTCCCAAACACCTGGTAGGTGCTGGCTCCTGGTTCCTGGTAGTCCCGATTCCTTGTGAGCTTGGCTTCCTAATTTCTGGCTTTGGGCTCCTAGTTCTTGGGTCACGTCCAACTCCAATTCTGGCTCCTGCCAAATCCAGACAGACCAAATGAAGAGAGAGGCCAGGAAAAAGTCAGCCAGAGCCCAGGTTCTAGTAGTATTTCTCTTTTGAGTGGCTCAGCTGACTGTGAACTCAGGCTCCTCCCAGGGCTGGGGGTGGGGCAGGTGAAGGACAGCCTCAGGTGAGCATGCTCCTCCCTACCCAGGTGAGTATTGGTCTGGGAGGAGGCCCAGAAAACCCAAAGCTAAAAATCTGGACACTTCAGACTTCTTCCAATTCCATCTTGAGTCTATTCCAGGCACAAATCCTGGAAAATCCATTATCAGGATTTCTCAGGTTCTGAGAAGAAGAGGGAAGAAAAGATCTTCATAGAGAAGGCACTTAATTAACCAACTCTTTATCAGGCACTTACACCTTGCCTAGTTACAGTTCCTTATTATAACAGCCTTATTCTGTGGGGAAGGCAGGAAGAATACCTATGGCTTCTGCTGTTTGGAGGCTCACAGTGTAGTTGGGAATAGACTTGGAAGGATGAATAAGACTATAGGCTCTAGGATGGGTCTGAATATAGACACTAGGTTTAGAATTGGAGGATCTGGTTTAAAATCACCTGTGTGACTTCAGGAAGTCACTCCTCTGGGTCTCAGCTTCTTCACCCAAAAATGGTTAACCTCTGAGTCCCCTCCAGTGCCAAATCTCTTGTCCTAAGAACATGAAGAGGTGCGCTAGAGGTTAAGCAATGTGAGTTGTCAGGAAGGGAAAGATGACCCTGAGCTGATTAGTTGTTACTCAGAATGTTTCTGCCCTTTTTCTGGTGGGGACGTCACTGTAGACTCAGAAAGGAAGATTAGATTGTAATCTTTATTATCTCCAGCACTTGCTTTGCACAGAATAGGTATTTGATAAATGTTTGAATAACTTTGTTATTCAGTCAATTCACTGAAAGACTGACATGTGATAGGTAAACACCTAAACCAGCACTCCAAATTCAATGCCGGGCTGTTCACTGGCTAGTTCAGATCCTGGTCCTTATTCTCTCTTCCCTCTTAATCAGTCAAGTACACTAGCTGAAGGTAACCCAAACCGAATACAGACGGAATCAAAATTTTACAAAGTTGTGAGGTGCTTTGATCCGAGTTACAAGTTAACCAGTCTCCTCACTGACCTCTCTACCATCAGTTTTCCCCCTTAAGTCTAGCCAGTACATCTCTCTTCCCATTTCCTAAAAGATAAACTAGAGATACCTTTGCCTATTCTAGGTAGGCCCTGAAAACGACACAAAACATTTTGTTTGCTTGTCTTTTTTGCACCTTATCGGAGGGTAAGATTTTGGTACTTATTTTGTAACATATACTGTTTTTGTTTATTACTAAATTTATATTTAAAAAAAATTTCTGAGGATGGCATTTAGAGCTGTCTTCAATCTCTCTCCCCTATTATTATTTTTTACAAAACACCAATTTCTGCCTCTGCATCAATCAACATTTATTAAGCACCTACTATATGCCTGACACTGTAGATAAAAGTACAAAAATGAAATAATTCTACAAGTAAGGAGTTTATGTTCCCAGAAAGCCATCACTGTGTAGTACAGTAATCTTTCTTTTAAATATCTATGGTACTTGATGTCAAGACCACTTATTTAAGGTTCAAGGTTAATTTCTCTCCTCCACCCATTGAGAAGGTAAGAAAAAAAATTACAAATACGTATAGACATGTGAAACAAATTTCCGAATTAACTATGTTATGATTTTACTTTTCCCATGTTAACATGTTCATCCCTAACCTAACAGATCTTCAATAAATGTTTTAATTCAATTACCAAGAATTCCTTAGGTTAGCACCCAATGGTTCTCTTAAACCACAAACTACAGTACATTTAAATTTATAGGCTGTCAAGAAGGGCTGAAGATTTAACATTCTAAAGTGTTCAGATACCTACTCCAACTGTCAGAAATGATTATTACATACAACTTTTAAGGAAGATAGGATGTTAAAGGCACAATTAGATTTATGTGTCACACTTGTGTTTACCTTGGGTGTATGTTCTCAGGACAAAGAACACACCTCTTTCCTCATTTCTCACCTGGTTGTGCACTACTTTGGGACTTCTCTGACTTTTCCACCACGCCCCCTCATTGGGTGCCTTCTCCCCCTCCCCCCATACTTTTCAGCTTCCTTTTGTTTTATCTCCCCATTAGATTGTAAACTCCTTGAGAGCAAGGACTATCCCCCCCAGCAGTGCTTAGCACTTAGTAGGCACTGAATATTTATTAATATTTATTGATTGTGATAGAAGCCAAATTGCAAGGGGTTGAGGACTGAGTGTGAGGTGAGAAAATGAAGGCAGATTTTCTTGTAGAAAAGATGGAATTATGATACAGACGAAAGGATAATTCAGTTAGATGGATTTGGAACTGGTTGAATGGTAGGACTCAAAGAGTAGTCTTTAATGGTTAATGTCAACTTTGCAGGTCCCCTAGAATGTTTGACTTTCCACTTTATCCTTCAGAGTCCTTTGGATAAAGCTATGACTATTTCATGTCTCAGAAAAGGAACTGTAACAACAGACATTTCCCCCTAGCTGATAGTCTGCCCTGGTCAGGAGGGTCAGGGCAGCCTTATCTGTTAGGTAGCCATCTTGCCTTCTGATCCTTATAGTCTAAGACTGTAGACTGTCTACCACCTGATGTCATTAAAAAATGGCAGTTTTTACAGGGTTTGTAGATGGGCCTGGAAGGGTGGGAAGGTAGGTGTCTTGTGATATGCATCAACATTACTACTCCTTAACTTAACCCAATGAGTGTTTCTGAGATGACTGGACACTTGGCTCCAAAGAACCCCAGGGGAAGGGGTGGTAATTTTGTTCCCAACTCCCTGTCCAAGTTACTTCCTGGGCATGGCCATGATGGGGAAATAGCCTTTCCGGTTTAGTTCGTGAGGCTTTCTTTTCAGCCTATAGCAGCTCTAGGACTTCCTGAGACTTGTTTACAAAATCCTTCAAGTTCCAAGCTCTCAATACCAGCACTGATTAAGTACACCATGCTTCTTTTCCCATTGTCATGATATTACAGATTTCAATTCCATTTTCAGTCTCTGACTCTCCAAACTGAAGTGGCCTCATTTTTATACCCGCCCAATGAATAACTTCCCACACAAAATAGCCCCAACTATGACTGGGAATCCCCCAAATCTAAGGACTTCTTTCTAGCCTGGGGAGAGGGTAATGACTCCAGGAAATGAAGTTCTGAAGAAGTGACAGGAGGGCAGATGCCAATGAACAGTGTCAGTATCTTATGTAAAATAGAGGGGATGTTGGTAGTAAAAAGCAGGGATTCATGTAGGGTACAGTTAATTTGGGAAAATTTCCTAGAGGTGGCAAGCCATAGCTCCACTATAGCTTGATGGAGAGGGTAGGTATTCTGGACTCCTGGAATGTCCTAAGCCATGTCCCAGATGAAGGAATACAGGTGTAAGGCAGGCCTCCTGGAGTCACCCCTCCCTGCTGAGTCAGGGTAAGGAATCCCTACTTGCTGGTCCGACCAGAATGCAGGGGAGGTCCTTCCCAGGTCAGGGGACCTTGTTCTTTCCTGAGGGCAGAGGTGCCCTCTACTCAAGATGACTGGACCTCATTGGTGCACACCTGTACAGCGGTTAAGGCATTTGGGATCAGATGAGAATGAGCCAACTCCCTGTCCCAAGCCCAGGTTCTCTCAGGGTGAGCCTTGGGGGACTAGGAATCCTGTAGACACAAGTAATTGTTTTAAGGGCTCTGGTTCTTCCAGTTTCTTCACCCACACTCTCTCTCCACTCTCCCTCCCCAAATCAAAACTGCCCTTTCCATCAGACTTCCTCTAGGAAGATGTCCCTAATTTTCCTGCTTAAGTAATCTGTTTATGATACATGTAGCCTAGGCCATTTCCCCAGCTTCATCTCCTTTTGCAGTAGAAGGTGGAAGAGGGGAATTCTGTCCCTGGGGGGGGGAGCGGTATGTGTGTGTGTGTGGTTGTGCCCTTCCCTATTCCTTTTAATGACATTGCAGGTGATGACTTTGCCATATTATTATTGCTTTGCCAATCACATCTCAAGTCCCCTTCACCAACCAATCAAAAAATCCAATACCCTGGCCCTGCTCCACCCCCTCAGTCATTCTTTTCTCAGGGGAACTGAAGCTCATCAGCTTCCCCAGCTGTAAAGGAAAACATCTAGGTGTTAGGGTGAAGACCTTGAGATCTAGTCACAAGGTGGGGAAGCCGAGGGTGGGTGGAGAGGGCCTGGAGAATGTGTTCAAGATCAAGATGTGAAAGGTGGATTGTCAGTCTCAGGCCTGAGCCCTTGTAAGGGAAGAGGGGTTGTGAAGATCATCAGGCCCAGGTCTCTGCCTGGAAGCGCATGGCCCGCTCCAGCATGTGAGGTAGGTGGCAGCATCAGGGCCGGACAGTCCACCCTCTGATTGGAACAGTGAAGTCAATGCTTCTGAGACAGAGGCTGGCATAGACTTGGCATTGCTGATGGAAAGAAAAAGGAAAGGAGAGGGAGGGAGTTACTATAAGATTCCAGTAGATCCCCTAGGCCCCAGGCCCTTTTTGGGTCCCTGTATGCCTGGTTACTCCAAAGTATGAATCTGGCCTATCAACCCCCCATAGACCTCTCCAAACCCTGAGGGCAAAGGGAATGAGGAGTTAGAGAAGAGAGAGGGAGAGAAGTGAGGAAAGACTCACCCAGCTAGGTAAAAGTAGGCTCCATGCTGGTTCAGCAGCTCCCACACCAATGCCCCGTGCTCCTGGAGACGGTGCTGTACGTAAATCTTTTCCTCCTGTTGAGATGCCGCACCATTTTCTCAACCCTCTGGGGCCAGAGCAGTTACTTACCCAATACCTCCCCTTTGCTGGTTCTAGCACCTCCCTCTGCCCCCCCTCCACCCGGACTCCTTTGATTTCCATCATCTTTCATGCTGTCATTCCCCATGACTCTCCCTCCCAACTCCCACTCACTTGGTCCCTGGAGAAAGCAGTGATGAGGGTCAAGAAGCCTTTCTGAATGAGTTCTTGCCACTCTGCCTCACAGTAAAAGTCTTTGTCTTTCTGTCGACAACCAAAGAACAGATAGTTTCCTGTTGGCAAACGGGATCAGAGTGGGATAAGGAAGACAAAGACAGGGGCAAGCTAGGTGGTGAAGTGGATAGAGCACTGGCCCTAGAGTCAGAAGGACCTGAGTTCAAATCTGGCCTCAGACATTTATTAGCTATGTGACCCTGGGCAAGTCACTTAACCCCAATTGTACCTCCAAAAGGGGAAAAAAAAAAGGGAAGACAATTCCAGAATATTGGACTTGACACCAGAAGCATCTTGGTGCCCTACTAAGGACTTTGGGGAATTTGGAAAAGCATTTCAATTCCCCTTCCCAATCTTTCTAACTTTGAGAGTTTCTCACTGGGATTCAGAAGGGGCGGGGATGGAGGCCATCTTCTGGCAAATTACTGATCCTCCTCCTGGACGAGGAATCTGATTATTCTGGATCCCTCTCCATTAGGCTGCTCAGGGAGACGTTTGCTTTCATTTTTGACTTTGACTTTTCTAACTCTGACTTACTAGGTACCTGGGGGTAACAAGGATAAAAATGACCTGATCCCACCTTCAAAGACCTTACATTCTTTTGGGAACATTCTAGTTGGGACAGGAGACACAGTAGGGCAGGAATACACAAAAGTACTATATTTCAAGGAAGCTTTTTGTATGCAGTTGCTGTCCAGTCCGGATCCAATCCATGCTGCCCCTCGTGCTCACCTGTCTGGCCCTGTGCCACACGCTCCTGGATGGCTGCACGGAAGGGTGCAACCCCAGTGCCAGGACCCACCATGATCACAGGGGTGTTAGGCTCTGCAGGGAAGCTCAGTCCACTTTTTCGAACCCAAAGAGGAACTCTTATTGGTCCTGTTAGGGAAGAAGCTGGGGTGACATCCAAAGACAGAACAGTCCCTGAGAATTTCTAAGTTTTTAATCTTCTCTGAGGGGCCCTGGGGGGGTGGCCCCAGGCCAGGGCAAATCCAGGATATACTCCTAGCCCTGGGAGGAACAAAAGGGCACAAAGTGTTTTGCGTGCAATATGTTTGACACTTATGTTAAATTTCCCCTGCCTTCCTTGGAGTCCCTCAGTACTTCCCATGCCTTGTGATATTTTAGCTCAGCCAAGTGGAAAGAGTAGGATTGGGGTGGCAAAGAGAGAGTCCGTGACACTATGCTTGAGCACAGTTCTCTGGTCCTGGAGTGCTGCTGGGCTTACCTCTCTTTGGATCCAGGGAGGCCAACCAGGAAGTACAGAGGCCCTGACGGGGCTTTCGGAGGCGAGTCTGGTACTTCACCACAGCCACGAGGATCTGCACCCTGAGAGGATGAGCCTTGGGGAGGGAACAAGCTGGATCACATCATGCTTTGGGGAGTAAGGGGGAAGGGATATGGCATAGGCCTTCATTTTCAGAAAGCCGATGGATAGCTTATAAATATCAATTTGCTTCACAGAATTTACAGCGCTTCTCCCTTTATGCCTCTCCTTTGTTGGTCAAACTGGAAAGGCGACATATGCCTCTAAAACCAGGGAAAAAACAAGAGGCAGTGAAAGAGATTTTTGGGGGGGAATTCCTGTCTTTTCATTTCCTTCAGGGCTCTTACTGTACCCTGTGTTGAGGCACCGTTCATACCACTCTGGTCGAGAGGTTTTGACTATGGCTAGACTGAAACTCTAGACAACAGCTTGTGTTCCTGAAAAGGTACGTATGAATTACTTAAAATATGAAATTCTTTTTTCTTTGTTCTTAAACTGTAAATAGACAATTAAAGTGTCAAGAGAGGAATTAAGGACTAAAGATGCTTCTAAATGATGTTTATAAGCCGTCTGTGGATTTTCTCAGAGTGCAGGCCTGCCTTCTGCTCCTGGCCCTCCCTCCCCAGAAGTCACTGGCACCAACCTTCTCTTTCAGAACCCTTGGGGTGGGAACTATCTCTCACCAGCAATGAAGAAGCGATGGAGTAGGCCCTGGGCCGGATTGGGGGGATGAGGTCCAGCAGGTAGTCTGGTGGGATGGAAGCTGCTGAGTGAGGGAAGTCACCCAGGACCTGAAAATGGAAGCAGAGCAACCTGACTGTTATCTTGGAACTCAACTTTGGCTTCTCCCAGATGCTAAAGGCTGGGGGCATGACAGCATGACAGTATCTTGGGACCAAATCCTTTGTTGTCTGTGGAGCCTTCCTGACCCGGGGGTCCAGAGTCAGGCCCTAGTCCTGATCCCTCACCTCCAAGATAGTCCTTCGAGGTCTATTGCAGTAGTTGTATAGTTCTTCTTGGCCTTGTGCAGAACTGAATTCAAGCAGCTTCTCACGTTCCATCTGGTGTTGAGAGAGACAGGCCAGGATCTCAAAAAAGGAGCGATGGGGGACACGAGTGATGTCCAGGTAGTGGGACACAAGGTGATGGATGGTGCAGGGCTGAGGCAGCTGAACTGGGCAGGTGACATCTAAAACAGCGAGCAGGGAATCCAATTTGGGTTATGGTGAGTAAAAGGGGGTGGGGTAGAGGCCCACCTTCCCTGGGGGGTGATCTTTGCCTCAAGGGTGATCAGAATCACAGCCAAATCTGGGAGGACCTGGTGAGGACAGGCTGACTCTCTCTAGGTCATACAGCAGGAACTAAGGTGAGGCTCTGAAGACCAATTATATCTCAAAGCCCCTGAGAGGATACTTAAAGTTCTTTGGCTTTTGATGGGAGAAAGGAGAGAAGATGGAAGAAAAGAGAGCCATGAGAGGGAGAAGAGAGATGGACAGAGCAGAGAGGCAGCGAAAGACAGACAGGGAAAAGAGAAAAGCAAAATGAAGAAATGGACAGAGAAAGAGAGAAACCCACCTGGCTCCCGAGGCTGCAGCACAAAACACTGGTCTGGGTCCAGATGGAGCAGGTGACAGAACTGCTCGGTGTCACTGGCTGAGTTCTGAGGCTGGATCATCACAATGTCACCAGCAGTAAAGCTGTAGGGAAAGGACCCTACTCCAGTTACCCCTGGGCACCTGCCTATGAAAGCTTCAGAGAAGCTTCCCTTTGACCTGGATATAAGGACATCTGGGTATGGCAGTAGAGAGGCAAGAGTGAGTCTAGGGGAATTGGGAGCAGGGGGTGGAAACTATGGGGATATAACTAGGAAAGGCAAGAAAGTGCTAAGTTAAGGGGACAAGGGTTGAAGTAGCTCTTCAGGATTCTGGGTCTCAGAATTAACACCCCTAAAATGAGCTGCTGAACACTGGGGGGCTAAAGCCAAAGCAGAAGTCATCTTTGACTCCTCCTCTTCCCTTGCCTCCCACATCTAACTAGAAACTACATTCCAGATATACTTGCATCCCCATGTTCCTCCTCTCTTCCCATCTCTACCACCTTACCACAGGCCCTTATTCCCTCTCATCTGGAGCACTGCATAATTGTCCTAAAGGATCTCCTGGCCTCTCCACCATAATCCAGTCTATACATCATTGCCAGAATAATCTTCTTAATAAAATTAAGGGATGAGAGAGGATTATACTCGGAGAAGAAAAAAGGGAGAGGTAGAATGGGGTAAATTATCTCACAAAAAAAACCCAACAGAAAAGAAAAGTCGCTTACAGTGGAAGGGAAATGGCGGAAGGTGAGAGGGAATGAGTGAATCTTATTCTCATAGGATTTGGCTTAAGGAGGGAATAACATACACATTCAATTGGGTATGGAAATCTGTCTTACCCTACAGGAAAATAGGGGGGAGAAGGGGACAAGAGAGCAGGGGGATGATAGAGAGGAGGGCAGATTGGGAAAGGGGGTAATCAGAAGTAAATACTTCTAAGGAGGGACAGGGTCAAAAGAAAGAATAGAATAAATGGGAGGGCAGGATAGGATTAAGGGAAATAGAGTTAGTTTTTCACAACATGTCCACTATGGAAGTGTTTTGCATAACTGCACATGTACAACCTATATTGAATTGCTTGCCTTTTCAATGAGGGTGGGTGGGGAGGGAGGAAGAGAGAAAATTTGAAACCTAAAGTTTTAAAAACATATGTTTAAAAAAAATGTTTTCACATGCTACTGGGAAATAAGAAATATAGGAAATGGGGTATAGAAGTCTATCCTGCCCTACAGGAAAATAGAAGGGGAAGGGGATAAGAAAAGGGGGGGAGAGATAGAAGAGAGGACAGACTAGGGGAAGGGATATTCAGAATGCATGCCATCTTGGGGTGGGGGGGAGGGGTGAGATGGGGTAAAAATCTGGAACTCAAAAACTTGTGGAAGTGAATGTTGAAAACTAAAAATAAATAAATTTATATTTAAAAAAAAAAGCAGAGGCATGATTTGAACCCATGTCACCTGGCTCTAAATTCAGTCTTCTTTTCATTAAACTGAAGTGCCTGGTGATTAAATAATCTGAGTTTCTTTAGATTCTCCTCTTAGTCCTTGGTGGGTTCCACTTCTCAGAAAGCTCTCAGATTTGTACGTCTGTCTTACAGTGCAGAGGCACAAAGTGGTTATGCTTTATACATGTACTAAAAAGCCTTCTAATTAAAAAAAAAAAAAGAATAATCTTCTTAAAAACAGAGGTCTAATCCCATTATTTCTCTGCTTAGTGGCTCCAAACTATGAAATAAAAGTTCAAGTTCCTCAGCCTGGTAGGCCCCTGCCTACTTTTCTAGCCTTACTTCACATTCCTTTCCCTACTTGAATCCTGTACTCTTGCCAGACTCTCATTGTCTCCCAAATGTGCCCCATATATTCCTGACTTTGTGTTTTTGTTTGTTGTTTCTCCTCTTGGAACACCCTCCTTACCCAAATTCGACTTTGCAAACCTTACTTTCAAGGTACATGCTCAAATACCCCCCACAAAACCTTCTGCAACCACAGAAGCTCATAGAGATTTTTCCTTTTACTGAATTCCTTTAGCATTTATTATCTCATATGGGCACTTGTATTCTGTGATGTACTGTAGTTGTTTGCTTACATGTCTCATCTATTAGTACACACACTTGCAGAAAGAATATCTCTTTCCATCTTTAATATATCTCATACTTAATAAATGCTTATTGATCGAACGCCCAACTTGTCTCCTCCGGATGACAAAGGGAGAATTCCAGTGGGAAGCTGGAGTGGATCTGTGGGACAGATGTGTCTCACCTGATTCTAGAGCCTGTGATATCAAACTCAATTAGCCGAACATCCTGGAAGTGTGACTCTGCAGTCACTCTTTCATTGGAGACAATGGGAGCCAAGAAGGGTTTGTGGTCAGAGGGGAGCTCCTCAGGTCTTTGATTCTCTGAATGTTCTTCCTCATAAGAAATCCCTGGGGCTTCATCACAAAAGTTCAAAATAAACCTTGAAGGCAAACTAGAAAAAGGAATGAAAAGGTGGCAAAGGAAGCCAGTGCATTACAAGGCTGGAGGAGCAGAAGGGGAGGAAGGGGAAGAGCTTCACGTTAATGAGGTAAGCCACTAAAGGACCCTCTCTTCCCCCAAGATTCTTTAAGGATATGCCACGCCTCCTCTCCCTATGGCCTAAGCTGGGGAGGAAAGAGAGCCCACAAGAGGAAGTGGGGTAGTTTTCATGACGAATCTCTTCCCAGTGACCAGTACAGGGAGTACCTAAATTGAGCCAGAGGGAAATGTGTTTGGATCTGTCTCAGTTACAGATTTACTCCTGGCCAGAGCTCATCCCAGGAAAAGCCTAGAAGCAACCTGGATCAGTGATGTCAAATCCGGGCAGATTCTATACTTGGCCACTGAAAGGGAGGGACTGAGAAGTGGAGTGGGAGTCACACAGAAACCTTCTAGAAGAGAGCTGGCAGCTCTCCGTACATCTGATCCTTACGGTGTATCAGCAGGTATCACACTAAGGTCAGAAGGCACAGGATACAGCCCCAGAACCTTTCTCCACAGGTCCAGAAGCCAGGGATCAATAACTGCATCAGGCCTGCCAGAACACAGAGAAAATCCAGGGTAAGCAAGCATGCTGCCTTCTAACAACTCTTCACCCATTTCCTTCCCCCTGCAGTAGTCTGGCTCTGGGACAGGCCTTGAATACTCACTGGTCGGGAGGAAAGCATGTCTTAGCTCATTCTTAAACCAGAGAGCAGCTGAACTAAGGATAGCCTTACAACTAGCATCATTTCCTAGGGGTCGTTCAAACCAGGACCCTAGGGAGGAGGTAGGTATAATCGACATATGCTGGAAACTTGGTGCAATACCATTCTTCCTTGCCCTCTGATCCTACTCCCAAATCAAGACTCAAGCATCTCTACATTATGTGCTCCATAGGACCAGGAGAGAAGCTGTGGGAGGGGAAGAGGCCCAAGCAGGCATGTCTTGGGGGGAGGCGGGGTCTAGGTTGAACTTTGGCCCACACACCTTTCACTAGAGCACAGTGGTCTGTTGGCAGACAACTCACTACTTGTCTTACGTATAGCTCCTTGAAGATTTCTACTTTTTGCATATATTTATGCTGTCTCCCCCAGTAGAATAGAAATGCCATAAAAATGGGGACTGTTTCATGTTTGTCTTTGTATCCACAGTGACCTGCACATAGTAGGTCCTGAATAAATACTTGTTGACTGGAATATCAGCCCCAGCCTGTGCAGCATTGGAGTCCCCACTCACCCCAGGTCATGCTGGTCATCACCCAGACCAATGGGCAAGAGCGCATTACCCCCAAGCTGTAGCAGGCGCCGGTGTAGTTTCTTGGCCACAAAATTAAACCTGTTGAGAGAAAAAATATACTAAGAAACCCATATGCAAACAAATGCAAAACTCCCTACTCCTAGTTCATGGGGCCCCCTCTTCTCAGGTGATCCTATCATTCTTCAGAAAAAGCCTTTTCCTTCAGCTGGATCTCAGTCGGGGGCGGTGTGTGTGTGTGTGTGTGTGTGTGTGTGTGTGTGTGTGTGTGTGTGTGTGTGTGCACGCGCGCGCACGCGCGCTATTACCACTGTTTTTACAGAAGTGGTTCAAAGAGGGTCAGGACTCGCCTGTGAATAGGCAAGGACAGGACTGGAGTCTCAGACCTCTGAGTCCCAGCCCAGTGTCTCTTCACTCTTGGCTAGGGCATGATCAGGGAGTCCCTACGAGAGAGGTTTTAATGATGTTTGATTTCAATGGAGTCATCTTAGGCCCAGGTCCCCAAACCTGTTCTAGGTAATAGTTCTAGAAATGGGCAAACTCTCAGGCTAAGACAACCCCATGACGAGTACTCAGGAGACTAGAGAAAGAAGGCACCTGGATCCCAGAGGGTAAGGTAGCACTGACAGGGAGCAGCCTGATTTCTTGGTCAGTTTCTAGGCTTGCAAAAGGCTAGGAAACCTCAAAGACTTAGTAGGGCTGGGGGTAAGGGGAAGGCACCTGTTCATCTCAACAAAGATATCTAGCACAGAATCCATCTTTTTCTGAGGGACACAACTGGGTCACAGGGTGGGGTCAACCTCAGAAGACAGGCTGCTTTCTATCTTCTCCCACTTCTAAACCACTCTACTCACTTGGCATAGGAGGAATCGCCGAGACCCAGCACAGCATAATCCATCTGACAGAGGGAGGTAGGAGGCAGATTTTTTCGGAATATAAACTTCCAGAAATTCTAAAATTAGAACCACTCTTTAGATACCACAGGTCCAGATAACTGAGGAGCTCATAACATGGCATATCTCGCAGGGTAAGCAGACCTCCCTAATCTGGGCCCCAGGTGCAGGGGTTCAGGTGGTCTAAGTCAATAGTGTAGACTGTAAGGGCAGTCTGGGTGAGTATTTCAACTTTAGGAAGTGTTCCCCAAGTAACAGACTGTTACTTTCATGTAGGGTAATTTTAGGTTAATTTGCTTTTTCTGAGAAAAACTTCATGTCAGGGTCTGATAAATACAGCACTACTCATGTAGTTCAGATCTTGGGTGGGATAAGTATTTCCAGCAAAAGTGTGTCTGGATCTGGAATTCTGAGGCCAGCTTTGGATGCTGGATCTCAGGACAGGCATAAAACAACAGGCAAAGTTCAGAGAAGGATAGTTCATGTGATAGATCATTGGAGATAAAACCTTTTTAGTCTTCAGAGATGGAGAGTGAGAAGAGATGGGATCAGTCTATGATCACAGAATCATAGAACCTGAGAATTAGAAGAACCTAGTCCAACCTGACCATGAAAGAACTCCACTTTATAACATGTCTGGCCAGTGGTCCTTCAGCCTCTGTTTGAAGACCTCTAAGGAGGGAGAACACCCACCTCTTAAGGTGGGCCATTCCACTTTGGGACAGCTCTAATCATTAAGAAGTTTGTAAGACATCTAACTTAAGTGTGTCTTTCTGTTACTTCTAGTAACAGAACTAGTACTCGCTAGGTCTACTCTCTGATAACAATGAGAAAAAGTTAACAAAATCATGGAGGAAGTGGAGAGGAAGAACAGGCTTGTTCATCAGATCATTCTGCTGTATACTATAACATAAGGCTGGAGGGAGGTAAATATAAGCCAAATCAAAGTTGTCTTAATTTAAATAGCTTGGAATTTATTACCTTGAGAGATGATATGGGATAAAAATACAATTAAGACCTGGAGGTGTTTAGATGAACCCCTAGACAACAGACCTATAGCAGATCAATAAGTGAAGCTGGGGATGTCCCTAGTCTGTGCAGTGATGTCAGGAAGATTGACTATGGCCTTACTAAACCTGTCACTGTATCGACTCAATTAGAGACATGAGCCTGGGCTGGATGGATCTAGAATAGCAATTCTTTTGTCTTTAAGACCTATGAGCCCAGTAACCTGACTTGTTTTAACAATATGTTTGTTGAACTGAACTGACCTGGTGAGGGGGGAGGATTCTTTGGGCCCCAGGGACATTCACAAGTATTTAAAAAACCTTACCTTCATGTTGTCAGGGGGGTCTCCTTGGCCTGTAGTTGCACAAACAAATATCACCAGTGGTTCATTAATCAGATTCACCTCAATATAAAAAATAGAAGTATAAGGATCTCTCATAATATCAGCATGAGAAATCTTCCCTTCCTTTACTCTCTGGCAGATTCATGGGAAAGAAAATACTATAGACTTGGCTTGTGGTATCAGAGGGGTGGTTCTTTACAAGGTCCATTCTATTCAACAGGTAAGACTCATAGAATCAGGCCTGGTTGCCCAGACAGATGAAGAATAAGAATTGATAAGAACCCCTAATGTTACTCTTTGATTTGTCCCCACTGTTCAAATTCACTCTGGTTAATGTGGAGAAAAGGAGATTAATGTGAGCAGAAGGGAACTTAGATTATGTGAACACAAATACATTTGTGTTTGCCATTCTGTTAGTTCTCATTTTTGGCCTTTTCCCCCACCTGATATCTCCCATGTTCCTGCTCTACTGCCTTACTTTTAAAACACCTCCAAGACTGAGCTCTCATGGCAGTTCCCTACATTCCCAAATGTTTTCTGTTTTCCACTCTCTGACATGATTCGAGGACCTCCATGATTGAGTGCCACTCTATTTTTCTAACATTATCTTATATTACTCTCCTCAACATATAGTATGTTGGGGCAGCTAGGTGGCGCAGTGGACAGAGCACCGGCCCTGGAGTCAGGAGGACCTGAGTTCACTTGACACGAGCTGTGTGACCCTGGGCAAGTCACTTAATCCCATTGCCTAGCCAAAAAAACCCCAAAACAAACCATATAGTATGTTGCTGTCAGTATGAAGTACTCTGTCCTTGAAACCTGCCTGGTGCTTTCACTCCTCTGTAACTTTTTCTTATACATTTTCTATGCCAAGAATCCATTCTTTCCTCATTTTTCATCTGATGAACTATCCATCCTTCAAGACAATCAAATGCCACTTCTTCCACAAAACCTTTCTCCTCAGACCACATAACGCTTTGTTTTGCAACTTTCAAATATTTGTTTAGTGCAATATTGTGCATTATTATATTTGTGTTGTATCCTGCAATGAGATTGTAAGCTGTACATCTTATTCATTGATTCATAAGGTTTGTTGCATCTTATCTCCTCCAGCACCTAGTACAGTCCTCTCCACAAAGCAGATCCTTAATAAATGTTTACTCAATTGTATTGTTGTATTGTTTAACTGGCCTGTTCTCAGCTACCCATCAGAGAGGAAAAGTCTGACAAGTTAATTTCATCATAAAAGGTTAGTAACTAATGGCTTAAAGTTTTGCATCTTCCAGGGGCATCGGATATGAAGTTCTAATGGTATCATCTGAGGACCTAAGACAGCTAAGTGGGAGTAAGATTTTTGGTTAAGGTGACCTTCCTGGAGTTTTTTAAATCATAGGAAACCCAGGTGCAGGACTGTGTGCCATCTCTGCCAAGCAGGGGCACACATTTTCCCAAGTCCTGAGCAGGGACCCCATCGGCCACGGGGCACACACCTGAACACAAAGCTGGGGAGTCTAGGCCAAGGCTGCACTCCCAACCTTACTCACCACATCATAGGAATCCAGTGCCTGAACCCTACATTGGAGCCGCCTCCGCCGGCCCTCCCTGCTGATCCTCTCTGCCACATCCTGGGAAGTTCCTGTCTGGCTCCCAAACAGGATGAGGAGGCTCCGGGTCACCATCTGGAAAAATGGGGCTGGTGTTGGGGAGAGTGTCAGAGACGTGAGGAGGGTCAAAATTGGGGGAGGGGGTGTTTCTTTGGGGATGTCAGTATAATTGGAAGGGGTTAAAATTGAGGCTGGGGTCAGGGTTAGGAAGGAAGGCAGGATATGAAGGTGGGTGGGTTAGTGTGTTAGAGTCAGTCGACGTAGGTCAAAGTGGATGGGGTCAGAGTTGACGGAATGCCAGCCGAGGCAGATAGAATTTGGAGTTTAGGCCACAGATGGGAGAAAGGGGTTCTGGGATAGGAGAGGATACGGGCGCGGGGCCTCAAGTGCGTGGGCAGGGCGGGAGGCCGGGATAAAGCAAGATCGAGTAGACGGGAGTGGGGGGGTGTAGGATGAAGACGGAGAGGGAGACAAGGAAAGGACCACCACCTCTATCAGCAACTCCCAGGGTTGACTTCCGGTGCCGGGGGAAGTGACGCCATCGGTGAGCGACGGGCCCATCATGGCGGCGGCGGTAGCGGGAGGAGCTTGGACCACCGAGGTGAGTGCGGGGGTCTGGGTTGGACTGGGAGCTTACCGACACCTGGTGTGGCGGTTCGGTCAGCAGGCGGCCTGCGGCCAGGTCCGACTGCGGGGCTGGGGGCGCCGTAAACGAGCGGAGGGCGGCCGGGCTGGCTGGCCCCCTATCCCCTCGCTGCTGACCCTCTGTCCCTATCTCCGCAGCCGCCGCCGCCGGGTTCCCGCTGAGGCGCGGCCCGGCCGAGCTGCGCAGCGCTGGTTGGCAGGAGCGGGCCCTGCCGGGAGCGGAGCCCCAGAGCCGGCGCGATGTTGTTCTCGCTGCGGGAGCTGGTGCAGTGGCTGGGCTTCGCCACCTTCGAGATCTTCGTGCACGTGCTGGCGCTGCTCGTGTTCTCCGTGCTCCTGGCGCTGCGAGTAGACGAGCTGGCCCCGGGCCTGTCGTGGTGGAATGTGTTCGTGCCCTTCTTCGCCGCCGACGGGCTCAGCACCTACTTCACCACTATCGTGTCCGTGCGCCTCTTCCAGGATGGGGAGAAGCGGCTGGCTGTGCTGCGCCTCTTCTGGATCCTCACTATCCTCAGCCTCAAGTTTGTTTTCGAGATGCTGCTGTGCCAGAAGCTGGTGGAGCAGACCAGGGAGCTCTGGTTTGGCCTTATCATGTCCCCAGTCTTCATTCTTTTGCAGCTGCTCATGATCCGGGCTTGTCGTGTCAATTAGCCTTGCTTGGAGGGGAGGGAGAAAGAAAGGACACTATCCCAAACCTAGCTCTCCCGCTAGCCTTGGACTGGATGAAAGGAACTCCAGCAAGGAGGAATCAGGCCCATTTGCTTATGAAGTCCTCAGCTTTTCTTCATGCATTTCATCCTTACTCTGGGCGGGTGGGTAGATGTGTGGAAAAAATACTGATCACTAAATAAAGGTATTCTTTTTTTTTCTTTGAGTTCCCTTTTTTTCTCTTTTTATTCTCCTTGATTTGAGATGATTTCCAAATTGGACAGTGTTTAATTTCGTGGACTGTAAAGGAGCTTTGCTGTTAGAAATTGCTTTTTAATAAAATGTACTGTTGGAATAAGAGTATTTCTTTGGACTTGGTGGTGTACTGCTAAATTCGGGAATCTCATTTTGGTCAGTGGTGTTTTGTCAGGGAGCCTGTATCAGCAAAGCTTCCCATATATATATGTATGTATATATATATATATATATGTCGACTGCAAAGCTCATTTCTCAAATTGAATTGATCAAAGAATTTGATGGTTGCAGCTTACTAAGCATATTTTTTGTTCCTCCCTTCCTAAAGAGAAAATAGAGAAAACTAATTCCTGAGGATAGAGCAAAGATTAGGACCTTAGTTGCTAGATAGCTCTCTGACTAGGTTGCCCCATGAATTAGTGAAACATAGTTTTTATTTTAGTTGATTGGTATCTAGAATTATAATTATATTTTCCTGCCAGCTCCAGTGATTTCCACATTTCCATTTTCATTCTTCACCCTTTACTGTTGCCCCACTTAACCTTTCTGGGAATCATAGAGTGATTTGGGAGTGATCCACCTTCAGTAATCCTAGATGAAGGTAACAGTTAAGTCCTTGCTACCCTTTATATTAAAGGTTGGTAACAGGGGCAGCTAGGTGGCACAGTGGATAGAGCACGGGCCCTGAAGTCAGGAGGACCTGAGTTCAAATCCAGCCTCAGACCAAACACTTGCCACTTACTAGCTGTGTGACCCTGGGCAAGTCACTTACCCCCAATTGCCTAAAACAAAAACAAAAAACAATAAAGGTTGGTAACATCAACGGGACAGCAGCCTTGTTACTAAAAGTATTTGATGACTTAGATTACATAATATGCATTTCTATATATCTGTACATTTGCATATTTCTGTATAGCTCTTTACAGGGTTGTTAGTCTCAAATAAGATAACGTATACAGAGTACTTTGCACATCTTAAAACTTTATATAAATCCCATGTCAGTGCACCAAAATTTTCACACTCTCTCTTCTTTTTACCCATATATTTCCATGTATCATTACTTTCTTCAGCCCACTTTTTAGTTAGGTAAACACTAATGCAACCTGGAGAAAATTGGTGAGGTCAAGGACTTCTAATCTATTGCAACCCTGGGTGTGGATGTTTTCCTGGCCAACCAATAATCTAGAGGCAGATACTTAAGAAGTCATGGTATGGCCATTACATTTTACTACTAGAACTTTGGAGTGGAGATGAGTAATTTCCCTTGACTGTAATATAGTGGTGAGGCTTCCAAGGAAATGGGAGAAAATGAGGTGAAAAGTTAGCAATTGTAGGAACACAGCTGGTGTTATTTTGGCTTCTTTTGGCTTAGATTGTTCTCACATCAATCCCTTGGTCCACAATCCTAGGCTTTTCCCACCACTGGATTTCACTTGGGGTAATTGTGAAGGAAACAAATCTACCTAAACAAACCTAAAGAAGATATTCTGGTCAGGTTATTCTTTCTCCGGATTAAAGGGGACCCCAGAGTGTATTGTGAACTGTTCAGATATTGGGATCTTGGAAGTCCCAATCTATTTTTCCCCTCATCTGTAAAATGAGGTGGTTAGATGACCTTCAATGTCTGTTCCAGCTCTAAATCTATGATCCTATGACTCTTGCAAAAAGTCATTGCTTATATTTCACTATAAAAGCAAAATACCATGAGAACAGAGGTAAGTTTATTGAGAAAGTGAAAAGCCCACTTTTACTAAGCCAAATTAATAATTTGGCCTAACCTCTGCCTGGGAAGCTGGGTGGCGCTGGATAGAACACTGGGCCTGCAGTCAGTCTTCACCTGAGTTCTAATTCGGCCTTCGACACAAGCTGTGTCACCCTGGACAAGACACTTAACCCCTATTTGTCTCACTTCCTCTTCTGTAAAATAAGGACACACTGGAGAAGAAAATGGTAAACCGGTCCAGTATCTTTGCCAGAAAATCATATGGACAAAAGTTCATGGGCCAGGTAGACTGGGATACGACTGAACAACAAAAACATTCGCCGCCTGCTCTCCTCGGAGTCCACACTGGAGCCACACCCAGGTCTACCTGAGACATGTCACAGGACTTGGCTCATTTCTTTTTCTCCCAGTTTACCCAGGGCTGCCTCCTTGGACCAGCAAGAACAAGACTCACGGTCACACGGAGAGGTGGAACCCAGGTTTAGTCATTCATAGCTCGAAGCTCCCTTACTGATGGAAGCGTCTGGGCTGCGGGCCAGGACCCTCCCTTTTCCGAGGGAATTGCAGGAGGAGGAAAGTAATTACAATACACCATGACTACCCAAGAGGAGGGTCTAAGATGCCTTTCCCCAATTGGGCGTCTGCCCGGGTGATGGAGTATTACCCAATTAAGGGTGCTTTTCCCATGGGGGTTGAGCGAGAGTAATCGTTAGCCAATAGAAGAGCTCTTTCTGGGGGGCACGGAGAGAGGGTGTTCCCCTCGCCTCACCCCGCCCCCAGTTTTCTCAGTAGGTGGTGCTGGTACATACTGGGCGAGTCTATGGGGTCTTTTCCCAATAAGCACCGACCTTGGTGATGATCGTATTCCCCAATGAACTGCGCTTTATCTCAAGGGGCGGAGCAAGAAAGGTCACTGGCTAATAAACAGAACTCCTCCCCTCCATGAGCTGCGAGGCGACCCTTGCCCGTCTGCCATAGGTGGCCCTGGCACACATGGGGCGGGTCCTGAGGGGCCTTACCCAATGGGCGGCGGCCCCGAGAATAGGGGCGTGGTCACGGACGGGAAAGCGGGTAGAGGTGGGGGTCAGGCGAACCGGGGCTATTCCATCAGTCCTCTAGTCTGCCGGCCCGCCGCCAGGCAGGTTGCCGGGCGCTAGCGCTGGCGCGGATTTGCCCGGCTTCGCCTCATCTCGCGCTGCACCTCACCATGACGAGCTTTGAGCCTCGGCGGCCGCCGGGCTTCGATGAACTGGCGGGGTCCGGCTCCCGCTCCGTGCTGCCGGCATGGAAACGGGAGATCCTGGAGAGGAAGCGAGCCAAGTTGGCGAGCCTGGGGGCCGGGCCCCGGGGCTTGGCCGGGGGGCCCGACGCTGGGGCTGGAGTTGAGGCTGCAGCAGGGACTGCGGCCAGCTCTGGGGGAGAGTGCACAGGGGAGACAGCTCCGGCGGCGGAGCGGCTGGTGCTGGCCGATAGCTTGGGCCCCCTGAGAGAGAACCCCTTCATACTGCTGGAGACGGAGCGCAAGCGGCAGCGGAGGGGGCGCAGCGCCGCGCCCGGGGCCTGGTCCTCGACGGGACGGCCAGTGCAGCACCTGCTGGAGCTGTACAGCCGGGTCCCAGGCATCCGCACCATTCGAGCCGACAACATCCTCATCATCGAGTCCGAGCCCGGCTTCTTGCCTGGCCAACGGCCCTACGAGGTGAGCACCACTGGCCCGAGCCCAGGCCCGGACCCAGTGCAGCAGCTGCTGTCCCAGCGTGGGCTGCTCCGTGGCGGAGATCCGGGCCGCAGAGGTGGTGATCTATGAGACGCCCCGGGCAGCCGCGGAGGCAGCCGCACAGCCCGGCAGGGTCAGCCGTCTGTTGGAGAAGTTCGATCCCCCGCTAGCTAGCGGCGAGCCCCGGTCCCGGGCCTCATCCCCGCCTCGGCGTCGCGGGAGCCCTGAACGGAGCCAGCCTCTGGTGCCAAAGCCTTCTGCCGTCCAGCAGCAGAGCTCTGCGACCTCCCCCTCTCTGCCTAGCCCCGGACCCCGTACTCCCAGCGTTGGAGAGAGAGCCGCCTGGTTCCAGAGGGAGCAGGAATCGGCAGCTGCCCCATCCCGGCTCAGTGACTTCCTCCAGAAAACGGGCAGCAACTCTTTCACTGTCCACCCCCGGGGTCTGACCAGAGGAGGCCGGACAGTACCAAATGGGCCTGCCATCGAGGCCACCCCGGTGCCCCGTCTGGGTCCTGCCAATGGCCTCCCTGCAGTGGGTGGGCCTGTGCCATCCTCTTCCAGTACTTCCAAAGGCACCGACAATCGGAAGCCAAATGCTGAGGAGGAGGCACCTATCCTTCACCCTTCCCCTGGCCCTTGCCCGATGGGCAATGCCAGTGGGGGACCCAGTGCCACTCCAGCTGCCCCTTCCACATTTCCCAAACACAGCCTGGCCAGTGCCACTCCCAGTCAGCGAAGGTGGGTTTTTGCAGCCACTAGCACCAATGACTCTTTTGAGATCAGACCTGCCCCCAAAGCCAGATATGGAGACCATCCCTGATGAGGACATCCAGGCTAAGGCCTTGGCCAACCTCCGGATGAATTCCAAAAACTCTTTTGTCATCATCCCCAAGCCCAGGGTAGAAGTGCTAGGCTCCAGGGCTGGCCATCCCGTGGGGAGCAAAGCCTTTGAGCAGCCAAAGGGAAAGGCCAGTGTTTCTTCTCAGTCTGGCCACTTGACCCATGTACCTCTGGAAAATGGGGGTCAGCACTCACAGGAAGTTGTACCTGCCTACAGGAATCACTTGGGGGGTGATGCTCTGCAGGCAGCTGAGGAAGGAGATCCTCAGAAACAAATAGCCACAGCTCTCTCAGAGGTGAACCACAAATGGCAGGGGAAGGTATTGACGGCCCCGTCTATAGAGAGACCTTCCAAACAAGAGCCTTGTGGAGGCTTTGAGATTTCTGACACATCTCTCAGTTCCTCAGTTACCCAGACTCCTGAAGACACAGGTAGACCAGGGCTTCCTGTTACTTATATTGATGAAGTAGATTCGGATGATGAATCCTACCAAGAGGCCAAACCAGCTTTCAGTTTCCCTGATGCTCCTCATTATCGACCTCATCCCTCTCTGCCTAATAGCAAATCTGAAGTTCACTACCTGAGCAACAATACATTCACAGTGGTGCCTAAAAGGAAACCAGCTGCCCCTGAGGCAAGCTTCAGCCCACCAAATGGGGAACTGTATACTGAGGAAGAGGAGGAGGAAGACCAATGGAAAGGGAAAGCTCTTGAAGATCCTGAAGCATCCAATGAGAATGTGGGGATGTTACTCAAGAAACGTTACCCCACTGTCCATGAAATTGAAGTGATTGGGGGCTACTTGTCTCTGAAGAAGTCCTGTTTAACCAAGATTGGGTCCTCAAGGAAAAAGGTAACACTGAATGAGAGATACCAGAGGTCTGCCTAGTAAGGAAGAAAATGTGTGATCAGGTGATAGACACTTAAACTGACTAGCACTTGGTGAATATTCCCAGCCTCTTAAAAAGAAAGAAAAGCTTTATTGATATTCTTTTCTTTATTTCCTTCTTCACAGTCATTTTCCACTGGCCATCCTTGCTCTAGTACAGCCCTCTGTTGTGACCAATAAATATAGTCAGTATATTAGCAAATCATTATATTAACCATGTTTGAAAAGTGTAAGCCTCATTCAACTCTATCACCTTTCTGTCAAGACTTGGGAGGCGTGTTCCAACAAAAAGTTCTCTGAAGTCATGATTGATCATATTGATCAGAGTTCTGAAGGCTTTTGATGTAGTTTTCCTTTAATTTTTATGGTTCTCATGTAAATTGTTCTTTTGGTTTTGTTTTTCAGTCTGCATCAATTCAAAATAAGCTTCCCAAGTTGAATTCTTTTTTCATCCCAATAATATTCCATTGAGTTTGTATGCTACAATTTATTCAGCTATTTTCTGGTCAGTGGGTACCCGCTTTGTTTCCAATTCTTTGTTATTAAAAAAAAGCTGCTGTAAATATTTTTATATGTCTAAGACCTTTCACTCTGTTTTTGACTTCCTAATGTGGTATCCTTAGGTCAGAACATACCTGTGGCTTAGTGATGTTGTCGGTGTAATTCCAAATTGTTTTTAGAACAGTTGGACCAGTTTACAACAAATTATTAGTGTGCCTGTCTTCCTGTGATAGCCCCTCCAACATTTTCCTTTCTCATTTTCTGTCTCCTTTGCCAAAATGATAGCTGTGAAGGGAAACTTCCTTCTGGATTGAATTTATTCCTCACAAGAGAGAGCTTTATTGGAGCTGGAATGGTTAGTGGAAAGTGACAATGAAATGGAAAAAAAAAAGAGAAAAGAATATGAGTATTTTTGTGATTTCCGCCACTTTTCTTTGTTCCAAATCTGTAGTCAGGTCATAAATTGTTGAGATTGGTTGCAACTGCTGTTCAGGTGCTCTCTTCTGAATGTTAGGAGGACAGAGAAACAATATTAGCTTGTTCTGGTCCAAACTGTTGTGCCCAGTTGATGGAGATGTTTGGATTGTTAGAAACAATTGTTTGATACAAGAAGCAGACCTCCCTCAAATTATTAAGCATCTGAGCTTTTCCCCATGTTTTCTTTGTCTTCTTGGCTGTCACCTGTGGGTATAGATTAGAAAATTCCCTAGTAAGTTAACAGAGGAGTCAGAATATCCCATACTAACTGTTTTGTCATTACAACAACTTGCCCCCCCTTACAGCAAGGTGGTGGCAGCTGCTCTGTAGATTGGAGATGCAGGTGTAGCTACCTACGGTTTGCCACTCAAATGGAAAAAGAAGGACTTTTTCATTGCCTTTACTCTCTGTAATTTGCAAAAATGAGAGGACTGCTTTAAGAAAGACCTTAACTGATGTGCTGTTTTGTCTAGTTGATAGGCAGTTCCCATTTATGTGAAAACTTTAGAAAGAACACTGGCATTGGAATAAAAGGACCAGGGTTTGAATCCTGTTTCTGCTACTTGAGGCCTGAGTGACCTTAGGTACATAAATTCGCATCTCCGGCCCTCATGTGTAAAACAAGGAGGGAGATGGAACTAGATGACCAGATGACCTCTGAAGTTCTTTTCAGCTCTAAATCTCCAGTCGTCTGATGCTGTGATCCATAGCCTAATCCCAAGGAAGCTCTTCAGGTCTCCCCTGAGGGAAAAAAATAGCACAGGCAGGAAAAACCTGTAGGGTCTCACCTGGAGCTATTGTTTAAATAGCTTGCCAGGTGGGGGCAGCTAGATGGTGCAGTGGATAGAGCTCTGATCTTGGAGTCAGGAGGACCTGAGTTCAGATTGGCCTTAGACACTTGACACTTACTAGCTATGTAACCCTGGGCAAGTCACTTAACCCCTATTGCCTCACCAAAAAGAAAAAAATATATATAGATATAGATCTATCTATCTATCTATCTATCATATAGCTTGCCAGGTGAAGAGTAGACAAATGGGAAGGAAGTTAAGGTCAGCCCCAAATTGGCCATGGCTGTGTATAGTTCAGTGGCTATAGGACAGGAGAATAGACAGTGGGTTTTAGTCAGAAAGACCCAAATTCAAGTCCTAACTCTGAAACCTTCTGACTTCATGACCCTGGGCAATTCTCTTCACCTGTCATTACTCTAGGCCCGTTGCTGAAAAGGTGCTGGTCTGCATTCTTGGCAAGAAGTTCCTTTTACTAACTAATCAAACAAAGATCCACTTTTTCTCTGCCTTAAAGCAGTGATGTGATGTCAAACTCAAATAGAAATGGGGGCCACTGGCCCCTGTTTGGGCTGCATGATGACTTAGAAAACCACCTATTAACATTACCTGTATTCTGCTGCATTTTTATTTTGTTAAATATTTCCCAGTTACATTTTAATCTGGTTCAGGATGCCTCTGTCTTAAGGCTTGTCATCTGCAGGTGGCAAAGTGTGCTGACCTTATGTGACATTCACAATGTCCTTTTGGGCCCTGTATTTGGTTTTCAGCTGAATCCAAGCTCAGATTAGAAGCCCTAGGAGAACCTCAGGAAGCCTGTTGCTACCCACAAGGAGAAATTAGGGCAGGTTGACTCTCTGGACAGCATTCTGGGTTGGAGCTTTATACATTTCCTCACCTTTGAGTCTCCTTAAGACCTGCCTTTTTTTTTTCCGTTAGGAAACTGGGTACCTCTACTTTGATTTCTAAAGTTGGAGGTATATTTTCTCTTTTGGCTTTTTCACAGAAAAATATTGTAGACTGTTTCCCATCTGTAGGAGGTCTTTTTTGTTCCTACAGCAAGGGATGCCAGCTCTGGCTGGTAAATCCATAAATCCTCCAAACCTTGTGAGTAGAAACTGAAATTTACCCGGGTCCAAAGCTTTAGCTCTCTGGAGCCCTCAGAAACTGGAGTGGCCACATGGAATTAACAGGCTTGTTAATTCCTTTCTATTTAATGCTGTTGTCATGGGGCCTATCACTGGGCCTCATTAACTACATGCCCCATTGGGCTTTCCCTGTATTGGGTGTTGAAGTCTCAGAACTATGAGTGGATCTACTTCTATTTCCAGATGCACAAGGAGCATTCTTATAAGGGGGGTTACGCCCTTTACCTTCTGTAAAGGACTTTTTGGTTGCCTTTACTCTCTGTGATTTGCAAAAATAAGAGAACTGACTCATTGCTAGCTGGGTCTTAGTGGTGGAGCCAGTTCTAATAGGGTTGGTCTTGGTCTTCTTTCTTGAACTGTCTTTGTCCCTGCTCACCTGCTGACTCTGTCCCATTCTCCTGGCTTTTTACCCTCCTTCGGTGAGCTCACTTAACCCATCCCACCCCACCCCACCCCTAGGCCTCTCTGTATTTAATGAGATGAGTGGGAGAGAGTAGATTGTACTGAGCTCTTGAGTGTATTAGGAGAAAGCAATATACTGCTACAAGTCTTGACCCCTGAAGCAGTTCAAAGGAATATATTAACCATAACTGAGTAAGAAAAAGGGAGAGGCTATGGGATGTGTAATGGAAAGGGCACTGGATTTAGGTAGAGTCAGAGGCCTTGGGTTCAAATCCAGGCTCTTTGTGTGACCTGGGATGGGTTCTCTTCATCTCTCTGAGCTTCATTTTCCTCATGAAAGATGAGAGGTTTGGACCAGATGGTTTTTAAAGACCTTAAATCCTATGGATGGCAAATACCATAAGAACCAGGTTAAGCAACTTGAAGGCTAGGTAGAGACTCTCAGATTTGTGTCTGACTATCTTTCTGAATAGAGCCAACTCCTTCCTAGCCCTGCTTGTTCCTGGGGGGTGAGGGGGAAGGGGAAGAGGCAGTGCCAGCCTAACCCTTTGTACCCTGTACCTGAGCACTGTGCTTTATAGAGCCCCTCCCTGCCGATCTCTTTCACAGAAAAGCTGAAAATTTTCCAGGTTGTTTCCTGTTCTTTGTTTAACCTTGGGGCAAATTCCAAGGCTAGTAAATACCATATTACTTCCCTATTGGTGGGGAGACAAGGGGCTCCTTTGGGAGTGAAATTGGGTCTGACAAGTATCTAACAGTATACCCTGGTCAGCCCTACTCATCTTGTCAATGGTGACTTCTCCCATTCATTTCAGAGCTTCCTGAGTGAGCCGTTTATTTCCAGGGCTTCTCATTCTTTTTTTTTTCTTTTTTGGTGAGGCAATCAGAGTTAAGTGACTTGCCCAGGGTCACACAGCTAGTAAGTGTCAAGTGTCTGGTCTGAGACTGGGTTTGAACTCAGGTCCTCCTGACTCCCCGGCTGGTGTTCTATCCACTGAGCCACTTAGCTGCCCCATTCTCATTCTTTTCCTCCTAGATCCTCCTAATGTGACTTTTGCTTACATCTCGGTGCCCAAAGGTTCTCTTGTTTAAAGCTTCTAGCAACATTTCCAAGACTAATCCAAGGGCCCCTTTTCTCTCCCCTTCTCCTAGCTGTTGCATACAGCCCTCATATTTTGGCACTGACTTATAGGATATTTCCTTCCTTGGTTCTCCTGTCTCTATTGTCCTTCTTCCCTTCTTCTGCATCTCCGTCCACACCCATTGCTGGGGTCTCTTCCAGGGGTTAAGTCTTGCCTTGTTTTCTCTCTACATCTGTTCCTTTTGTGAGGTCTTCTGCCATCATGATTTGTTACTGTGTTTATGTAGATGGTCAAAGTACCTCCCTGTCCCTTGGCCTGAATGTCCTCTTAGTATTTTGAATGATCATGGTTTAATAGCAAATCAGACCCAACCCTTCCTTATCCTCTGTGCTGAGGCTCTGCCATCCCAGTTGGTAGTGGTACTTCCCTCCTGCTGATTCCTCTCACTTATTCACACATCCTCTCAGTGCCGTGTCTGATCCCTTATGTCATCTCTCATACCTGCCTCTTTCTTAGCAAAGCTCATGTCTAAAATCTGGTTATCTCACTGCTCCACTATTGCAACC